ATAAGATAACTGCTGTTTACAGTGAGAATCATACGAAATATACATAAATACAAAACACAAAGTTATATACTGATAAAGTAATTGGTACAGTTACTGATATACTTAAGCGGCTAGTGGTATTCTGCGACGGCGTAATCGCACTTGGGTGTCGCAGGCGTGCTAAGGCAGGAGACAGCGCATTCTGTAATCCACTGTTTTGAAGTTACAATTGCACGGACAACAGCCGATGACCACACTAAACAGCATAAGAGTAACAAATCAATTATGACCGCATGGACCAGCTGGCAGTGACATGCAAACACGGGAGTGAATTGCTTACGGATATAATTTCAAAACTCAAATTGCTGAGGACTGGACATGACGTACTGACGTTTTCGTAAAGCCAGTTATTAATTACGCAGTCACACACAACAGCATGTGTAATATTTTTAACATCAATCACAAACGAACCGAATTGAGACGTCAAGCCTGGGGCTGCATAATGTATCACGAAAAGTGCACTCACTTCTCAAAAAATGATCTTACTTATCAGATCAGTAACTCTGGAATAGACCTCGACATGAAAAAATGTCTTAGGGGGTTCTGTGCAACGGTGTTTCAATTATGTTATCATGGACCTGTTGAATTTTATCAGACTGCATGGCGATATCGTAAATTTCAGAAGACAATCATCTTGTTCCAGATTTGTTAAACTATTAATTTCGAGTTCCTTTCACTGGATAATCTATTATTAGTGCTAGTATTATGCCTCTCCAGAACCAGCCCGAGTCTACAGATTTCCGCACTACTGCACACCAGTCGCCACTTCAGTCTCTATAATACATTCCTGTAGATTGCGTCGACCGCCATGGCCCGCTGTATGAATTTGTATGTGTATACAAAAGTTTAGTTACCCTGCAATCTCTGGGCGTCAGAGACTTGTACCTCGAGAAAACAGAATTAGAAGCAATTTTGACTAATCTTCGATGTAGTCTTTTAATTTCGTATCATTAATCATTGTACTTTAATATCTTCTCTTACATGACTTATTTCTTAACAGTCAAGTCCATGCCTGGATTATAAATTGACATTTCTCCATCTCAGGTAATAACTCTATCCCATTAACCATGTTATTTTCTATACAACGGATCAAACATCTGTATTTCTTCTAAACGTAGTATTACTTTTTTTTTCTCATTGAGGTCTGTCCGTCTTTTTATTAATATTTTAACAGCAAAAGAACGAGTGAGTACCTAGTCACACCACGGAGTGGGTCTGTTTCGAAACAACGTTATACAATAGCTGGAGGGTCAGACCGGGTCGGAAAATATCGCCCGTGTTAAGAACCAACGGAACGTGTCCTGCATGGACGAAATAAAAATTATAATCTAAAATGAAATAATAAAAATTTCTGCAAAACAAAGACTTGAATTACTGAAGATGGCTGTCTTCTGGGTTGTACATCAGTCATGATTGGAATTCTGATGATGGTTGCCTTCTGTGTTGTAGTCTGGCAGAAGTTTACGAACGTTTCGGAAATCCTTGCGGCCTCCATCATCAGGGCGACGATCGCCCTGATTATGGAGGAGCAAATCCTACTTGAATTACCAACTACTTTAAGTAGTTTAAGGGGGAAACGTCACGTAATGATTTAATTAAAGATTCATCAATCCTATGTACAGATGTAAACGGATTCTCTGGATATTAGTTTTACAGGTAATTTCTCAATTAATATATACAGTTATGATAAATGCACGGTCTGATACGATTACGCTGTAAACGTGATCATCTACAATAAGGAGCTCGGTTTGAGCTAAAGCTGCAAGAATTAATATTCTGAGTGAAGTTATCGCATGCCGATGAGCTGAGAAGCGTGACGCTGTACGTGAGTTATTGATCGCAACTCCGAACTAGTGAATAAGCCTCGCATTAGTATACACGTTTCCCTCACGAGTTCAATTTATTGTCAAAAGGAAGCTACACGGTCATGATTTATGCTCTCTGCAAGATGATAATCAGTGTGCACTGAATCCTGTGAGCCAACTCCAGCAGATTACAGAGGCTGAAGGGCATAAGTGAATATATAAATGGAATATATAAATGCAATCTACTAAACACCGCACAAAATAATCGGATATGAGATTCGATAAAGAGTTTAACTACAAACATTTTACATAAACAGAACGTTATAAAGTGTACCAGCACTGCCTGTCATATGTCTGTCCTCATTGCAGCCATTTTAAACTAGTACGTTACACCACGGAAGTTATTATTTACTGGAACATTTCAAGCCACTTCACTACAAGAGCCCACATGAATGGAGATCTATTTGTGACCATTCGCTTAAAGCGCAAATAGCCAGAATGTATTAACTCTTCAAATATAACTTCCTGCTGTATGATAACAAGAAGTTCGTAATCTTTTGTGTCTCGTCTGCTACATAAAAACGTAAAGACTGAAATACACACAACTATAATTTTGCCTGCTGCTTTGAAAGGGTGTGAAGCCTGGTCTGTCAACGTAAGAGAACAGAGAGTGAGGGTGTTTGTGGACAGGGTGCTCACGAGAATATCTGGATCTGAAGAGGTCGAATTTGACAGGGGGCTGGAGAAAACTGCGTAATGAAGAGCTTCGTAGCTCGTAAACTTCACCAAATACATTATGAGCGTATTCATGATTAGGAGAATCAGATGGTCGGGGCATACCAAGAGTGGGGGAGATAAGAAATTAGTATAAAAATTTTGGTTGGAAAGCCTGAAGGGAAGGGATGACAAGAATACACATAGATGGGAGGGCAACACTAAAATTTACCTTATGTAGACAGGGTCTGGTGGTATTGACTCGATTAGTAACAATCAATAGCGGATTCCTGCGAACACGATAATGAACCTTGGTGTTCCATAAAAGGCCTATAATTTCCTGACTCGCTGAACGACTGTCTGCTTATCAAAAAGGGCTCTGCTCCACAGAGTTAGTTTAATTACACAAGCATGAAGTAGTTTATGCATGCCCGATCAATGTTATTCAAATTAGTTTCTGTTAAACCATACAGGTCTGCATTATTACTGTACACGCTATGACTTTAAAAAATACGATGAATCTCTTGGAACAATACTAAATAATGCCACAAAATCTTACTAAGAATAAATGAAGTATTCATGTTGTCACAAATATTATATTCCGTAGTTATAGTTTAAATGAGCCGGGATAGCTCAGTTAGTATAGTGACTAACTACGGGCTGGACGACCGGGGTTCGATTCCCGACCGGGGGGGGGGGGGGAGGG